CGCTTCAATCTTTGGCTATGTCTTGGGCTACTCAAATATTTTACGTTTTTGATACTAAATTAACATCTGAAGTATAAATTTTTATTATTTTTATATTTTTCAATATATTTATTTTGTTTGTACAAAATAAAAAATAATTTTTAACAATACAATAGTCTTTGTTAGGCTTAACATCAACGAAAATTCAACGCAAAGCGACACGCAACGGATAAAAATTTCGACATCGGATACGTTAAACTATTTTTTCGTACGTAAATCAGTTATCCGAAATATCAGTTATCCGGACAACCCCAGTCCCCAATTGATTCGGAAAATCGACGCTCTACTGTATATATTAGATAATGTTTTGTTGTATGTGATAACCCTCATCTGTTCGTCTTGTGGCATATTCCTCTTCCTCCTATTTATGTATTGGTTTATGAGATGCTTGACCAAAGAGGATGGGTATCCATGTTGCATTGCAAGGGCCTTGATCCTTGACAATTTGTTTTTGTCATTTCTGATAAGAGAAAAGACTGTAGGAGAGCGTCGATATGCTGGGTGTATTTTAGCTACAAAATGCTAAATTGCTACACAAAGTATCGGATAAGGCACAACTCAAGTACCTCGAATCACTGGATATATATATAAGGCAATTAAAAAAAACGGTCAGTATTACTTTCAAAGAAACCAATATGCTTTCCGCAGCATGGCGCGCCATATTTGAATTAGATCCCAATGATTGAAACTTGCATCAAAGATATTTTAAATTATGGAGGATATTTATGTCATGATCTACGTGAAATCAATTATTTATTCGGATATGTTTTAAATATTTTACATATTTTCAATTTTAACGCAACATATTCGAATTATGTAGTTAAACAGAACTTTCAAAAACATTCTATTCTACTAGCCATTAGTTCGATATCGTCAATACCTGAGGATGTCTATTACATATAGATGAAAACGTTCATAGAAATAATTTTTCTGTTTGGTTATGAACTGGTAATGGTTTATTTGGTGAGTGTTATTAAATCAAGTGGTTCGTTTGAAGAACTGGTGACAACTCTTCACTTTGTTGTTCTCTTCTCTATGTTGTACTGTTGAAATTGAGATATTAGGTTCAGAGGTGATGAGAAAGCGTCATTGCCTGTCCTGAGAACTTAACAGATGTTTAGCTCCCAGGTGTGAAAGTTGACAGTTATTTAACGAAATTATAGCTACAGCTTTAGTTAAAATCATCTCATTCATTATGAGATTAAATGCTTGCCACAATTCTTGGTCTTCTAAGTGAATTTCTATTGAATTCATATTCACCTGAAAGCCAATTCAAATGGTTTCAAAATACAAGATTCAACTGAAATAACTCCTATTTCGTCTTTCTTGAATAACGCTCCTCCAATGGCTTTCAAGAACAGAGACTTCCCGACATCTTCTAAGTAGCAATTGGTTATAGCTACAATGCAAACATACTAAAAGTCCAAATTCAGATCTTCACATCATCTCGGCCTTTCTAAAATCGTGCTTATTCTAAATGATCAAGATTGATTTTGAGGTATAAAAAGGTTATAATTGGTTTAATTTACTCTCTCTCTCTCTCTCTCTCTCTCTCTTTGGGTTATTATAAATGTTAAGAGATATTATAAATTGATAATGAGATATTAACAGAGTTGTAAAATCGTGTACAGTCACTGTCTCAATATATATATAATTTATGATTAACCCTTTATAGCCTGAATTTTCATTTTTTGATAAAAAATTTTTTTATTTCTTATTATACTATCAGAAGAGGTGTTTGTTCACAGATAAGTAAGTAAAAAAAAATTAAAATGTATAATAACAATTTTTTAATTATTGGACTTAGAAGTCCCGTCAAGCTTTAGAGCACATTGGGACTTACAAGTCCTTTTTTGTTAAATATCACATAAATTAAACATTTTTGTTTATATAAAGAATTTTTATTAGAAAATTTGGCAGATTTAATGCATAGTTATGTATTTGAGAATTTTTACAATATAATAATAATAAAATTTTTAAAAAATAATGAAATGAAAAAGAAAACTGCAATTAAATTCATTGGTTTAATAATTTATGTTTGGTGAAAATCAAGAAAGCAATTCTTTTTTTGATTTACACACAAGAAAACTTTACATAATGTGCATCTTGAATGTTGTCTTGATTCTATATGCTTTGTAGCACAGTATTCACATCGGCCTCTTTTAGAAACAAATTCAGGCCAATGTCCTCCCTGATTTTGTAATCTAATATCATTGCTTACAGAAAATGCTAGTTTATTTCTTTTTGGTAATTAATCAGTTGTTTGATCTAACAATATTCGTTTTGGTCTTCCTCTATTTGAAAATGGTTTTTTTCCTTTTGTTAATAAACCCTGAGCTACTTGTCTTTTGAATTGCAAAAATGAAACTTTTTCATTCAAATCAGCGAAAATTATATAAGCATTCACAAGAGCCATTTCTATAATTGCAAAAAACAGTCTATGCCACCATTTTTTTTATTTTCTATTTCGATCATACAATGATCTTAACATGTCAGCTTTATCAACTCCTCCCATATGAGTATTGTAATCTCTGATAGCCAGTGGTACTGGCACGTCTAGTTTTGTTCCATCTTTCTGAGTGCGTTTTACATTTATGACTTCTGTTCCGTGGTAATTGAACAATAAATGAACACTTCGATTGTCTTTCCATTTGAAATATATGATACCCTGATCAGATGTTCTGAAATCATACTCTCCTCTTTCTAAGTCCTTGTCATTTGCAAGTTTTGGAAGTCCTGCTTGATTTGAACGAATAGTTCCACATGCATAAACACCCTGTGATTTTAAATATTCAAACAACTCTAGAGATGTGAAATAATTATCCATTATAATTATAAAATTTCCATTATGAAGGGATGATGTTAACTTTACTACAACACTTCCACCAAGACCAAAGTTTTTTTCCTAGAATCACCGTGTGTTTTTCCTTGGTAAATTATAAATTCGTATATGTATCCTGACATATCAGCACGACACCAGAGTTTGTAACCTTTCTTCACAGGTTTCATTGGATTGTATTGCTTGAGGGATGAATGGCCTTTGAAGTTAACCATGCTTGGATTGTATTGCTTGAGGGATGAATGGCCTTTGAAGTTAACCATGCTTTCATCTATACTCTGAAATTGATCTGGTAGTCGGATTTTTTTGAAGTTTTCATTCATTACAGTGATCAGTGGTCGTATCTNTAACTTTACAAGCAATATATTGTTTTTTTGGAACATTATGTTATTGTTTAGTAGTTTTTTCTAGGACATAAATTATACCTCATTATACATATTTTATTTACTTCAGTTTTTAAATATTTTCATTTTTTAAAAATTCCTGTGCATGATTATATAACTTACAGATTGTATCTATTTTTGCTCTATCAAACACTTCATACATAGCTCTTTCATTAGGACAACCTGATAATATGTACTGTACATATCAGTTTTTTGAATTAATTTTTTTGTTTCCTTACAATCACAGAATATATGAAACTTAGTGTATTTTTATATCTTGGGCAGCTAGATTGTGAAAATTCGATAAATTTATTATTAACAATTATCCAATTTATATTTAATCTCAGTTGTATAAAAAATCTTTTGACGTTAAATGCTAAATTAGTAAACATGTAGTTATTATTAAATGGATACTGAGCCACGTCTAAGTTACAGAAATTTTCCTTTCGATGACAACACTTTTATTATTTCTTTATATTAGCTACAGTATGAAAAAATATATAACATATACGACATCTTGAATATAATTTTTGATTCGTTTTAAGTATTGATAAACATGTATTTATTAATACTGAACAGGCTCACAAAACTCATATACAAAGTAAGAGTAATACGTATTGTATTAGCTTAATTTTTATAAACAGTGTTTATTAAAATTGACTTTACAGTTCGGCATTAATCCTACGTGGATTAAGTAGAATTAGTTCCAAACACCGAACTTAAAATTCGTGAATGCAGCCATTAAATTCGTAGCTGTTAATAATTTTCAATAATTTTTAATAATATCATTAATTTAGTAATTTAAATTTAGCATTAGCCAAAACGACATATTATAAAAAGGCATCAAGATTGCTCTTATTCTGTCTGCTGATGAAAAGTTATTAACTCCAAGAAATGTTGCGGATAAGGTTACAATGGTCACAACACTGTATACGATATATTTTTTCATTTCCTTTTTCCATTCCTGTAAGAAAGATGAATAGAAGTATTTAACAAAAATTTATATATTTTTCACTTACTAAGACTATTACCTACTTCGTAATGTCTTTGGACTTGTTGTTCCTGAAAGAATAATAGTGGTATTTAATAAAATTTTAAATTTTGAAGAATTTATACTTCAAAAACCATTGTAACTCTCCTCTGTGGTAGTTAAAAGATTAAAAGATAGACTCAAAAATATATAATAATTTTTGTAAATGGTCTTTATTTTTTGTAAATAGTATTACCTACCATTACCTCTCCGTGCTTTTTTTAAAATATGTCTGTTGTGAAAGAACCCTTCCAGTGTTGCTTTTTTGCCTTGTGAAAAGCGTTTCGTCGATTTCCACGATTTTTCCGGGACCGCCTGTTCAATTGTTTCAACAAATGTAGAAAACATACCTCCCTCAAAAAACTATTCCAGTCTATAGTCGATTTTGTTGCAAATATTTAGATGTTTTCGACTCCACTTTATAGACGTAACTTCCTCCGTCCAATGGTAAATAAATCGTACCGCCGTTAAAAATGGTATCCATGATCCGCTTAACCAATTATTGGAACGGATGCTTATCATTACATCACAGCTACTAATGGTGCATCTCCAAATGTCTTTAGACATACTTAATTTCATTTCATGCCCATTTTTGCATATTCGAGCACTAGGTAAAATACCTTTCTCTTGAAAAAACTATATAGATTCTTCCTCGGTGCATGGTAAATCGTATAACGTAGACATTTCTTCTTTCTCACAAAGGCTTGGAAAACACGTCTGTTGGTAGGTAAACTGGCCGAGTCAATTTGTTTCGAGGGGATACAAGTACTAGTTGAGATGTTGGTCGCCAGGGCAATGCCACCATCTGGGATAAAGATAAAGATTCACAAGCACTGAAAATTTTTAGATGGGTATAAAAATATGTTCAATTTCCTGCAAATCTTATTCATTTTCACAGATTATCTAACAATCACTAAGGCCACTTTATCTGCAGTTGGTGCATTAAATTGTCTTGTGTTCACCAGCAGGTCGTTTATCAGGATTAATTATAATTTGAAATTTTTCTCTTGTTGAATATCGTTCAATAGCTGCCTTAAACTCTTTCACATATGAATTATGCTCACAAAGAGCCTTTTGTATTTGAGAAACTAATCTTTTATCCACTCTTGTGGAATTATTACACCTAATATTCACCTCTTTATCATTGCCTACAAAATATATTTGAAGAAATGCAGGTTGTTGATCTTCTGATGGCAAAAGACTGCCAATCCTATGATATATTTGTCCTTGGACCTTAAAAGTTGGCATATAATTCCCTTTTCTTACTTCCTTACTGCTGAATGAAGTCATTTGAAAACATCCATTATACTTTCCTGTATTTTTAGAAAATTCATTGATTCCTTTTGCAGTTCTTTGCCACTTGATTCATTTATTTTGTAAGAAAGATTACTTAAAGGCTCAGGTTCTTCNAAAATCAAGAAAGCAATTCTTTTTTTGATTTACACACAAGAAAACTTTACATAATGTGCATCTTGAATGTGGTCTTGATTCTATATGCTTTGTAGCACAGTATTCACATCGGCCTCTTTTAGAATCAAATTCAGGCCAATGTCCTCCCTGATTTTGTAATCTAATATCATTGCTTACAGAAAATGCTATTTTTTTTCTTTTTGGTAATGAATCAGTTGTTTGATCTAACGATATTCGTTTTGGTCTTTCTCTACTTGAAAATGGTTTTTTTCCTTTTGTTAATAAACCCTGAGCTACTTGTCTTTTGAATTGCAAAAATGAAACTTTTTCATTCAAATCAGTGAAAATTATATAAGCATTCACAAGAGCCATTTCTATAATTGCAAAAAACAGTCTATGCCACCATTTTTTTGATTTTCTATTTCGATCATACAATGATCTTAACATGTCAGCTTTATCAACTCCTCCCATATGAGTATTGTAATCTCTGATAGCCAGTGGTGCTGGCACGTCTAGTTTTGTTCCATCTTTCTGAGTGCGTTTCACATTTACGACTTCTGTTCCGTGGTAATTGGACAATAAATGAACACTTCGATTGTCTTTCCATTTGAAATATATGATACCCTGATCAGATGTTCTGAAATCATACTTTCCTCTTTCTAAGTCCTTGTCATTTGCAAGTTTCGGAACTCCTGCTCAATTTGAACCTATAGTTCCACATGCATAAACACCCTGTGATTTTAAATATTCAAACAACTCTAGATATGTGAAATAATTATCCATTATAATTATAAAATTTCCATTATGAAGGGATGATGATAACTTTACTACAACACTTCCTCCAAGACCAAATTTTTTTTCCTAGAATCACTGTGTTTTTTTCCTTGGTAAATTATAAATTCATATATGTATCCTGACATATCAGCATGACACCAGAGTTTGTAACCTCTCTTCTCAGGTTTCATTGGATTGTATTGCTTCAGGGATGAACGGCCTTTGAATTTAACCATGCTTTCATCTATACTCTGAAATTGATCTGGTAGTTGGAATTTTTTGAAGTTTTCATTCATTACAGTGATCAGTGGTCGTATCTTATATAGTTTGTCCTTGTTATCTGAAGAAATGGATAAGTTATCATTTACGTGTAAGTTTGATAAAATTTGTTTATACCTTTCTCTTGTCATCACTTCTTGAACAATGGGAACGCATAAATCTATATCACTACACCAATAATGATGAGTTTGGGGTAAACGATGATATCCAAAAAGGAATTGCAGTCCTAGAAATCCATACATTTCTTCATCTCTAATTGTCTCAATATTTATTTGTTTTTGTTGGCTGTATAGATTGCTTTGAAATACAATATTGCTTATTGTACTTTCTCCTAAAACTGTCAGGAAAGCATTTGTTGGTGTAGTCTTCTTTTTAAAAAACTGATTTACTGATCCCTTCGTTAATGAAAAAGAAGGAACAGTACTTACTTTTTCACGTTTTCTAAAATTTTGTTTTATTGATGGATTACTAGTAACTTCTTCCTCATCAGAATCATCGTCAGATTCTTCACTAAATAAAGTAAAAGCTATGTCAGTTTGTGGTGATATTTGATCATTCATTCTCTGATTCATCATCAGTACTGTCTTCTACAGGTGTATCAATATCAGATGGAAATTCTTCCAATAAAAGATCATCTATTTTTTCATCTATAAGTCTTCTATCCATATTAACTATTAAAACGTTAAATATATTCATCAATTTATAAATGACATGTACAAAAAACAAATTGATAATATTTACAAAAAACAGCCCTATAGGCCTGATGGGACTTATAAGTCTCAAACATATTTTGACCTCTCACAGATTAAATATAATAAATTCCAAAAATATAATATATTAAAATCAAACTACACACATTTAAAATATATAAAAAAAAAAAAAAAATACAATAACAAGTACCTTCAAAATAATAAGTAGAATTAAACAAGAAAGCAAGCAATACAAGCTACTACCATTCAAACTACAAAATTTCTCTGAACAAAGTAAAACTTGTTTCTATAAAACTAAAACAAAGACAGTTTCAAGGTTGCTACCCCCTACAGGTAAACAAAGACACATCATACAATGGAAACCTGCAAGTTCCAGTAAGCTATAATGTGTACAATATAAAATAAAAAATTTCAAAGATAGTGGGACTAGAAAGTCCCGTCAGGCTATAAAGGGTTAAGATATTTGACTCTCTATCTGTTGTTATGACAACTTGGTGAAAATAAACCACAATAACCTAAATATAACGAAAGCGTAAACAGTTTGGGATTTAAGGTTCAATTTGACGCATGTCCTTCTAACCGGTTTTTTGTCTGATCAGTTCATTGTCGCGTTTGTAATTGTTCTGAATAATTTTCCAGTTGTCGTGAGGTCTGTTTTTAGTCGGATTTTGTTCGTATAAGTGGAGGAAGATGTTCTTATTGGTATGCGGCGAATGTAGTTTTGTAGTGGCCTTTGCATCTAAGATTTTCGGATTTTGGTGTGGAAATGCTTGTTGCTTTATGTGTTTGTTATGCAAAATAAGCTTCCAATAATCACTTACCTCCCACACTTCCTCCTTATCTACACTTCATGAATTATGTATTGATTCGTTGTTACTCAAATCCTCGGAATAAGATAAAGTATTATCATCGGATTTGCTTTCTTTCTCCTCGGAGGGTAAAGTCGACACACCACTTGTGCTAGCCATCTTCAGAGTAAATAATTGTCAACTGTAAAATTTGACTGGCATGGATTGTTTATTACCCTACGTCACACATGTACTTTCTCCTCCACATGTCTTAGATTACAAGACACTCGATGTAGGTTCCTGTCCGTGGTAAGGGGACATCCCAGAGATAGTTTAGTAACTCTTCATTACCATTCCTGGGATCTTAACACCCACCCACGTGTTTGCCATGCATGGTATCTCGTATTCTGGAAAGGGGGATCCTGGTAGTTGAGGGGCAAAATAATGTCCCCAACACACTGCTTTGGTCCCTGCTTTGGATAAACGGGACTCTCAAATAAGGCTCCATTTGAGTCAATCAGCTGGTCGTTGAGTCATTCTTGACCTTGGCTTGGAGTTAACTGATTGATGCACACCGGGCAGACACGTCAGACAAGATGTGCTCTTCTTGACTGCACTGTGGGGATATAGCTCCTGGGAAACCCTGGTGTGACGGTCTATGGGAATCTCCCATGTGACAGCATCCTGTTGTTGGGCCCCATGGTGGGTGGGGTCACTAGGAGTTGAATAATTATTTTTAAATATGGATTCAAAAAATTTAAAATGTCCTTGCATGCCATCAACAACAATCAATGGAAAAATCTCCAGTAATCCAGCACACTTAGTAGTTAACTGCATGCTGTGTTAACTGCAAAGATGCCCATCCTACCTACTCTCGGAAATGCCCAGCATGGCAGAGAGAGAAAAAGATTTAACGAGTGAAAACGATTAACAACATACCTTACCCAGAGGCTCGGCAGCTGGTCACTTCAAGTGCAACAATGAAACAAAAGACATTTGCATCTGCTTTGAAATCCACAAAGACATGTGGAGTTCAAACCAATATCTCTGTCTCACCAAGCGAATTTCTTA